AGTCAAGCACCCCTGTCTCTTGCACATTATTGGTTCCTTGATTTATTATCTATCCCTGACTTGGATCTAAATCCTGTATCCCACTGATGATCCGAATCCACCCAATCTAGGATTCCGATCCCGGATCCTTCGACCGTGGTCCCAGATCCTCTCTTGATCCGGATCCCGGATCCACTCTCAACTGAATCACCTCTCAAATCATTTTCCATCTCAGACCCGATCCTTAAAGGGGTCAGACCTGGCAGTTCTGATCCACCCATCTATTTCGTACTTGATCGGAGTCTGTCGATCCCCTTCTTCAGCTTTTATTCAATCTCTGATTTGCTTCTTCACAAAACGATTTATGGAATCACAGCCCAGAGTGCACTAGGAGTAGATGCCTTAACAAGGCGTTGCTAAACTCTTGAACGATCGTAAGGCGCCTCAGAGAGGCACGTGTCTATCGGATCAAAACGGGAACTGAACTCTATTTCTTCTTTTAGCCTAAAAGAACACCTTGGAACAACGTAACTAACCTACTCACTAATGTCTTATATAAAAACTTTCAAAATATCTCGTGATCAATGGCTAACAGACATCAGTTCTCAACAATTGATACTGTGTTCTAATATCACTTAAAAGAAGATCCCATCCCTTGTGTGCACCACACCTATTGTCGACTACCAGCCGACGTGTAACCCCGTTGCAGGAACGCTTAACGACTTGGGTATTCGAATGTGAGTCACGGTGTGACGATGTTAAAATCAAGATGGTAACTGTGATGGGTGCGGCAGAGACAGAGAAATCGCCGCGTGCGCTTGAACCCAAATGATCCCCAGATTAAAATGTCTTAGGAGAGGCGCTGAAACTAATATATTTAAATAAAAAGTTCTATCGCTCGATCTATTACAAAACCCTCGACGCCCCCTAAGTTCCCTCTGGGGACCAAAGCGGATCGTGCTGCAAACCGTGATTCGTAGGACATTATTGTTTGGGTCAAATCCGAAAATTAATTTATCCTAGGCCACTGTAGTGAATACAAGAAATAATAGTCGAAGGTAAAAAGACCAAGAAAGTAGTATCCAAAATTAAGCAACGCGATCGCGCCAAGAAAGTAGCGGATCGTTCGTAAAACCGTGACCCTCTATTCACGGCGGAATTTTGGCAAACCGTGGTCCGTTCTCTCGGAACACGGTTGAAGATGTCCACATCTAACCATCCCGAAAGAGATGGTCAGACGGAACGTGCGAAACGTGTCCTCGAAGAGATCCTTCGAGGATATGTCCACTCGTTTTCGAGTTGGAGCGAATTTCTTCCAATGGTGGAATTTGCCATCAACGACTCCGTGCATACCTCAACACAGCACACACCGTTGTACGTGAATGGCTTACGCCATCCACGTGTGCCCGCCCTTCTAGAGTGTGACTCTTGGATAAGGGGGGGGACTCTCTCGAGCAAAAACCGTTTTGGCTCTTGCTCATCATGTGTCGACGATAACGTCGTCACGTATGATGCCGATGTCGATCAAGTCGGCATCGATGAAGAAGATCATCTCAATAATAGCGACAACGCTATTATTGACTCGGATGATGATGACGATGCTGGTATATTCAGCATCGTCAACGATTATGCCAGCGAGGAAGAAGACAACCTCGCTGAAGAAGAGAACAATCTCTTAGCAGTGCGCACGAAGCGCACTGAAAGACAAAACAAAGAGTCAGCAGAGAACTTCCTGCTGACTCGAGAGGCGATATTTAGCTTGGTTCAAGACTCCATCGTAAATGCGGTGGATCTTCAGAAATGAAACGCAGACAAGAATGGAAGAGCGAATGTTTTTTCATTTAAAGATAATGACCTAGTACTACTGTCTACGGTAAACTTACCTGGACATGCAGTCACTAGTGTCGGCAGTAGTTAACTACTGCCGAAATACATTGGGCCATTTCGTCTGTTGCACCACAAAGGCAATGCATACACACTCGAATTGCCACGTAAGATGCGCACGCATCCTACGTTTTACGTGGGGAGGCTCAGGCCGTACTGTCAGGACAAGCCTTGTTCTCCCGATGAAGATAGCCCCCACGTTCAAGAACATCCATCAAGTTCTTGCGTTCGCGCTCCAGACGATCCGTCTAGTCGCAGAGATAAGATACCTCGGAGCTCAACCGAGATATCTACCCGCGAGCTGTCGCCAGCTCGCCGCAAAGGGAGCGGACATCCCGCTCGACCTGAAGCTGCGCTGTGGCATAATCGGCGCGATCTCTCGCGCGATCAGCCTCGTAAATCTTGCGGTTCTTCCGCCCGGTATCAGTCAAAGCGTAGCGCCGGTCGCGCTCGTGCTTCAAGTCATCGCGCAATTCATCGATTGCGCGATCCATCTCGTAAGGGTCGAGATGGTGAGCCGAATCATCTGGAGGAGGTCTTTCATCCTCCACCACAACCTTTGGTGGATGCTCACGGTGATAAACGCTTTCTAGTGGAGCGTATCTTGAATCACCGTGACGATTCAGGATCAAGGACGAGATACCTCGTCCAGAGGCGGGGGTATCCACCCTCTTGGAACAGCTGGGAGTCCCGCTCTCAGCTGTTGATGGATGTTGAAGGTCTCGTCCGCCAGTATGACGAGACCAATCCGATGAGTCCTGTGGCCCATCGGTAAACACGCGCCCTAGGCGCTTGTAGACGGATTGCAACTTTGCAATCGCGTCACGCATCTCCTCCGAGAGATGTGCCCTTCCCCAGGGCGAATTTAGGGAGTACACATCCCTATGTGCACGCTGCGAATTGTCAACACAACTCGCACAACAGTCTCCCCATGTGAGGCAAGGAATGCCTGCCTCACTCGACAAACAGTGCAACCGGTACCTTGCACCGGTTGGTGCTCGCTTTTCAAACTTGATGCGTACCGCTTCAAGTTTCTTGAGTCATCCTTCTCGTCCAAAATTCTTATCATTTTCGACGAAGGCGTTCCACGCACGCCAAAATAGCGAGGCCTTGTCACGCTTTTGGTTGCCGTTGTACCATCGATGCCTAAGGAAGGCATCGAGATAGAAGTCTTCTTCAGCGCGGAAGTTACTCGCGCTGGGACTCAAGCCGTGAAGCTCAGTCGCATCGAATAAGGGTATTCGATGGTGTTGGCTTGTCTCGTGATACAAGCCATTGATGAGCCGTTCAGGCAAACGCCACGGCTTCAGATCATCACGCTTCACAGTGGTACTCTTGTCGGTACCATGTTTGTCAGTATGACGATGGCTTGCAATATCGTCAAGTCGCTCGTGCGAAGGAGCACGAGTTGATTGCGGTGATGAGCAATCATACTCATCATCAAACTCATCATCACTTCCGTACAGACTGTGACGCATGTCACGAGTCCGTACGTCCGGAAGTGTCGTGAATGAATGAGGCACCGCAGGTGAACGCGATGCCTCCAAAGGCTTTTCCGAGTCAGACACGTCTGACCCGCCAGAATAGATGACCTCTATGTCCGGGTCATCATGCGCACGTGGTGTGATACCGCGTGCACCTGCAGCACCTGTTGCTCTAGGCGGATAACGAGCAGCAGACGACGAATCGTCTGCCGCAGAGGCTGGCACAGCAGTGGGCTGTGCGTGCCTTGAGTCACCCCGCATAGACATGTTAACTATGCGAGATCGAGCGGAAACTGAATGGAACGGACCCAACAAGTGCTCCCTGTCCCAATGGTGGCCAACGGGTGGCCGCCATATTTTTGATAGTCACACGTTGACTATCAGTTAAGGGGGGTGATGTAACGTGGCAGCCCGTTACATGGAAGTTGTCATTTGAGAGATAATGACATTAAATAATATTATGTTGAATATTCTTTTAACAATATCACCGAAGTGGTGATATTGAAGGGTCGACCAAAGGGTCTGCTCATTGGTTGATATCGTGATGATATCAACCCACCAATCGCCGCAAGACGCGCGCAATGAGTGGTGACGAGACGTCACCATACATGCAGTTATATTAGTATAATTGAATTAAGTCAAACGAAGAGACAGTAGTTTAAAGACTTGATTATATTAATATAACAGTTCTACTTTTACCCTACCTACGCTTCCTCGCTTGCCTTGTGTACGTCTGTCGGGGCACCGATGCCCTTGCGTTAAGTTCACGCAAGGGTGCGCCCCGTTACACTGAGGGTGACAATAGCAGTATGAATCCCACAGTAGCTGAATAACCTGCCACTACCTCTCAAGAACCATTGTTGGAATATACCGGATGTAGTGGGTCGTTTGCGTACCCGAATATACCTCACCAGACCAACCATATTACGTAGCATCGATGTCAAAGTCTGCCGTGACTGAATTGCAAAGGGTCGTGTATCTCTTGGGTATGACGATTCGAATACGAAACTGACGATGCATCAGCAGAAGCAGCATGTGATTGTCGTATCTCCATGAGTCACAGAACTTGCTTGAAATGACACGCGATCGTACAGCAAGTGTCAGCCGATGTACTGATATCTCGAACGACTCACTCTGGTATGATCGGGCTTTTGTGTGGCGAATACCGAAGTCGAGAAAAAGCCGACTCACGTCCAGATACGTGCGTATACATCTACGAGGGTGGTACGGACACCCATCGCCGTGACATATAATCGTGCAGTGGAGAAACGCGATGAAGCTGACGACGATTTGCTGAGCCACGCAACCGTCGCAGCATCTTTCAAAAGGAAATGGGCGGTCAGCAAGGAAACACGGGACGCTTGTATTGATACCACATTGAGCTCTTAAAGACTCGTCAGGTGCATCATGCAACGGGCTGCATTCCTGCCGCGTCATGTGAAGCCCAGGTTTCTTCCCGGAGCATAAGACAAGGTAAACATCAGGAGAAGACTTTATTCAGTGGTTTAGAATTATCCTACATAATGCTTATGTAGCTTTTTCCGACCTTACCTTATAGTAAGGTATAGCAAAACGAATTCGATAATTCTAATTACCAGTGCCAGCGAACAGAAGAAGTAGAAGTAGTATCCCTCGGGAGCACTGCAACAAGTCCTAGACGGACGGGAGTGCATCATTTATGCTATGAATCGTGACGAACGGCTTTGCTACCTGTTTACACCCAGAACCTGGACCAGCGTTCGAGAGCACCTCCACGTTGTCCTTTCGCGTCAAATTAATGACCATGTCGCCGACAATTATCTCAATAAACAAACCAGTCACCGCATTACAGACAGCGTAGCTCTTGTCACCAATCACGATGTCGTATTCCATATGGCAGTAACCGCTGTTGGAATTACCCTCACCCATGAATTGTAGTTTCGTTAATTCCTCGAAAAGCGCATTGATCGGCGGAATCGGGTAGGGGCCTGACTCCGAGTCCAAACACACAGAGACCTCCTCCGCGTTCGACGTGACGTTCACAGTGGCGTATCCACCCGTCTGCATGTAGGAGGTGACCGACTTGTCCAGGCCAGACTCATGCTTCTCGTCGAATCTTGCGTAGATATCGTAGAGCGTCTTCCCGCCTTCCAATCCGACTGCTTTGGCTTCCATGGTATAGTTGACATCAGGAGAGGACTTGAACTGCGGCCTGACGAGGATGGAAAGACTTGGCCAATCCGTTGTCGACTCGGCTCGGAGAACTCGAGCGCCATTCTCGCCAAGAAGCGAAGCCTCTGCGGACGAGAGCAGCACCGTGGCGACCGCCGTCCAGCACAGAATAGCCAGTGACATCGTTGTCGTGGGGAGGGGGGAGACAAAGTCGCGTAAGATGTGGGTGGGCGGCTCGAGTCAAATGCAATTATGAAGAAAATCAGGACCGCGGTCCAGGTCATGTACACGGCCAACAATGCCGTCGAAGCCTCCCGATGGTTGTGAATTGTCTATACCTCGCTTTACGACACAACACCAAACAAGCATCCGGATATAACCTGCGAGCGAAGACACACTACATCAGCTGTGGAATCGTGCGCTCTATCCCAGTCGTATATACGGGCAGCCCATCCGTGTTTCTTCTCGGTATCGCGCATCGATGAGTTTGTAGCAGCATTAGGTCACGAATACGGTGTGTCCAACGGTCCTGTCCATGACCTCCCGAAGTCAACGACACGAAGGCTTTGTTTGAGAGCTGTGTTCGAGACTCTACGTGGCGCTCTACTCCACAAACATTGTGTGACTTTCATCGTATGTTTCTCGCAAAGCAAACCTCAAGAGGAGGAGCATCAACAGCGTCTGCTCTTGGATAGCGTCATCAGTGGCTCGCAGGTGGAGCATGGGCGTCAGCTCGCCCAGAATATCCATCCGACGGCTGTTGTCGATTGAACGAGCTGCTACGGCGGTTGAGATTGGACGGTATCCTCGTGCGACAGAGCTCAACGTAAAGTCGCTCGTTTATCCATCGCATCTGCATGAACGTCAGCTTGTCTAATCGGACAGCCTCGTCGTGCGATAGAGCTGCACGTACACTCGCGCATGGTGGAATGCACTTGCTGCACATCTACGGAAGACTATGTTTGCACATCACATTATTACTCCCCGTTCCCCTCAACTCGCCCACGCCACACTGCGACAACAGCGTCCGCATTCTCGCATGTTCCTTGACCACGTACGTCTCGTAGTGTTGTGACGATCGTCCGCGTTCTTGCATGCTCCTTGACCACGTACGTCCCGTAGTGTTGTGACGATCGTCCGCAGGAGCTCAGTGCAAGCTCGACTTAAGGGAGTACTGTCCAGACGAGGCTACAATCGCTCGTCCGACTGAACGTCGTCGTTTCAGTCGATGCAGACCGAGTAGCCGAGCCACCCTTCGGCTCGAGCTTATCCGACTCAACTGTGTTAGTCCACATAGCGGAGTCCCAATGTTGTACTTGGTGTTGCCGTTGTTGGCCTGTGTTAGTACAGACATCGAGGTTCAATGCTGTACTGGGTGCTGCCGTCGTTGGTCACTAGAGCTAGGCTTTGTCGCGGCTAGACTACAGCCTGTGAAAGCGATGATAGTCACACTCGTCCCTCATGGTAGGCTCAAGTACCTCCTTAGAGGAGTGCATCGTCTAGGTGGCATCGACACATGGTGTTTGCACGGGGCTGTGCCTGCTTCCGAGAACCGTGAAGTGGCGGACTTGCTGCAATAGATCAGTAACCAAGAATCAGATGTGCGAACGCACACGGAACTGGCGACAAGGAGTGACTGTATCGAGAAGCAGGAATTCGACCGGACCACATTGAACGAGACCGCCTTCGTGGCATCTTGTACACTATACATGCATCACAAAGAAAGTCGAGGAGCCTCAATTTCAAGCCGCACGATACAAAGTGCATGATGCAGTAGTACGGCTGTAGCGATGAGCTCTGCTACCACTTCAAGTGCAGTGCGTGCTTCATTATCGGCATGACGTGAAGATAATGCAACACTGCGTGCATCACACGGATTTACCTATAACCGTCTTGACACGTCTCCATTGGTGATGACGGGTCTTTTGTTGTACCTGGAGCAGCAGCGAGCTGCTCACCCTTGTTGCAACGTCTTCTACCAGCTCAATCGTCCAACTTGCATCTGTTTTGTGCATGAGTGCTGCATGTAGCGTCGTGCCCATAGTCAGACTTCGGCTTTATTATCATCACAAACTGCGACATCGTGCGTTCTCTCTCTTGGTGTTGAAGCTACAACTTTGCGTGCAAAAGTTCTTACGAGCTGTGTCCGCACCAAACGATCAGGTCACAATTGCCACCTCCCTCCGAAGCAGCAGTTTCGATAACAACGAAAGTGTTGGCAGTCCAGTGGGACCTGGCTCCACTGCAGACTGCGCATAAGTCTTGATGCAAAATAGCACAATCGAGAAGTATGCTTCGATGTCGCCACCGCTCGGCTGGGCATGCGTTGGTGGACCTCACTTCGCGCGTCTGCACTCTAAAACGAAATGGAGGTGGAATCCGTCCATGTTGGCAGTTGCTGCAAAGGTACAGGGTCGGCAGCTTTTTGTGCCAGTGACACTCACTCGCCCATTACATCGTGCAACAGTATCGAGAAAGATGCAGACGTTCCGTTGCGCCAAAGCGCTTTAGCTACGCATTCTCTCGTGTTCACCTGCGAGCGTCTCAGCTGCTCTTTAGTTTGCTGTCAGTCATTTCAACAGATGTGTAAGCGATTCTTCTGTAGCACAAGCTGTACGACCCTTAGCATAGCTGAAAGAACTGTGTGAAGCAACTTGACAGGAAAGGACCGGTTCGTCGTCGATGGCTGCGATTATCTCGGATTTTGGCGTCCGTAACGCTCGAAGAGACGCGATACACACGCATCTTTGCCAGAAATGAGCCGCTGATAAGTGATTCGTGGTCTTTGACGCCTGTATGCAAACGCCGACGACCGCTTGGCATGGAGTGACTGCAACGGGGTGAGCCCGTTATATAAAAATTGATACGGATGTATCAATTTTTGAATATTACCTTTTTAGATAATATCCAATTGACATTACTCGAGAAGACGTAATGTCGGCAGAATATTACCCCCGAGAGTAATATACGTAATTTGTAACGGGGCACACCCATGCGTGAACTTAACACAAGGGTATCGGTGCCCCGACAGACGTACACAAGGCAAGCGAGGAAGCGTAGGTAGGGTAAAAGCAGAACTTTTATATTAATATAATCAAGTCTTTATTCTACCGTCTCTCTGTTTGACTTAACTTAATTATGTTAATATAACTGAGTGTATGGTGACGTCTCGTCACCACTCATTGCGCGCGTCTTGCGGCGATTGGTAGTTTGATATCATCAAGATATCAACCAATGAACAGACCCTTTGGTCGACCCTTCAACATCACCACTTTGGTAATATTGTTAAAAGAATATTCAACATAATATTCTTTGTTGTCACTTTCTTTAAAGTGACAATTCCATGAAACGGGCTGCCCCGTTACATGGTTGCTTCACTTCTTGGTTGATGTAGACGCTACATCAACTAAAATAACCATCAATCGCTTCTGGACGCGCGCAATGGGTGGCGAGCAAGAAACTTACATAGTAGATTGCAGTTTAATATAGTTAGATCGCGACAAAGATGGTTTATTAAAGAAACCTAACTATGTTATATCCAGTTCTACTTTTTCCCTTAGGCATAGCTTTCTAGTTCTGTCGACTTCCTCGCGCTTCCTCACGCCACGTGTACGTGACGTAACGAGTACCTAGCCTTGTGTTCGGTTAACACAAGGTCTTACCAGTCATCTGATAAGATCGTGCCCCGTTACAATGAATAGGTTGTCGCTAAAGGAGAAGGTGTGACGTTAATCTCCGATATGTAAGCGAACTACCGCGCGCGCCCTCACCGCTGCAGCAATTGCACGCATGAACTTTGGAAAGAAGCGAGACGCGACACACCTCAGCCACAAATAGCAACATATTATGTGCTTTCGGTTCTTGACTTATACTATTCAAGATCTTGCACCATAATCACATATTGTCCAGGCTAGCATAGGCGGTGTACGAGGAGAGACTTGTAGAGGAGCTACACAGATCGTTAAGTCAGTGGAAGACTGTAACGCTTAACGAGGAGCTTAAGGTTCAATGAACCCGACTCAAAGAGTCAAACAGCTCAGAGAGCTTTAGGTTTGGTTCAGAGAACATGACTTAAAGATCTATCAAGCTCAGAGAGCTTACGGTCCCTGTTCCAGGGGGACCAAAAGATTCAGAGAATCACAGCCCAGAGTGCACTAGGAGTAGATGCCTTAACAAGGCGTTGCTAAACTCTTGAACGATCGTAAGGCGCCTCAGAGAGGCACGTGTCAATCGGATCAAAATGGGAACTGAACTCCATTTCTTCTTTTAACCTAAAAGAACACCTTGGAACAACGTAATTAACCTCCTCACTAATGTCTTGAATAAAAACTCTTAAAATATCTCGTGATCAATGGTTGACAGACATCAGTCTTCAACAATTGATACTGTGTTCTAATATCACTTTAAAGAAGATCCCATCCCTTGTGTGCACCACACCTATTGTCGACTACCAGCCGACGTGTAACCCCGTTGCAGGAACGCTTAACGACTTGGGTATTCGAATGTGAGTCACGGTGTGACGATGTTAAAATCAAGATGGTAACTGTGATGGGTGCGGCAGAGACAGAGAAATCGCCGCGTGCGCTTGAACCCAAATGATCCCTGGATTAAAATGTCTTAGGAGAGGCGCTGAAACTAATATATTTAAATAAAAAGTTCTATCGCTCGATCTATTACAAAACCCTCGACGCCCCCTAAGTTCCCTCTGGGGACCAAAGCGGATCGTGCTGCAAACTGTAATTCGTAGGACATTATTGTTTGGGTCAAATCCGAAAATTAATTTATCCTAGGCCACTGTAGTGAATACAAGAAATAATAGTCGAAGGTGAAAAGACCAAGAAAGTAGTATCCAAAATTAAGCAACGCGATCGCGCCAAGAAAGTAGCGGATCGTTCGTAAAAATACAATCCGGGCGGAGCTAGACCCGGCATTGTCCAACTACACATTACAACGCACACTGCTCGCTTCATGTGATTACCGAACATGAACGATTCTCTACCGATAAAACTTAAAATGTTGCGGATGTAACGGGGCATCCCGTTACATGGAAATTGTCATTTGAGAGATAATGACATTAAAGAATATTATGTTGAATATTCTTTTAACAATATCACCGAAGTGGTGATATTGATGGGTCGACCAAAGAGTCTGCTCATTGGTTGATATCATTGACGATATCAACC